ACTTTTGTTGTCCTTCACGTTGTGGGTGAAGGACAACAAAAGGGGTTCCATCTGTAGTCTCTGGCATTGGTTCCTGCTGGGGTCCACTGATTTCCCATAGTGACCCACAGGACCCCTTCTTTGCCCTGCAGCTTCCCCACCCCTGTGCTTGCCCAGTGAGGTTTACTCCCCACTTCTGGAAACTCCTTAGTCTTTCTTGAGGTCTTCTCCCCCTGCCTGACCTCCACAACTCCCTTTCTGGGTCTACACAACCTGCCCCATGGGTGTGGTAGTTCCTAGGTCTGTCTGTCTGTCTTTCTCTGGGTTCACTTTTGGGTTGTGGTCCTCTACCTGCTCAATCTCTGTCCCCTCCGCCTTCCTCTGCCCAGAGGGCTCTGTATCTCTTTTTGTGGCTATGGCACAGTGGCAGACCTCCCTTGGGCCACTTCCCACTTGGCTTCCAGCTGTAGGATTTGCCATTTTAAAGCCACCACCTCTGCCTCTCTCTATTTCTGGTGGTGGTGCTCAACCTCCATCTGCTCTAGGAGCCTTTGTCTCTCTTCCCAAAAGGCCACGGACTAACTGCTGAGTTTGGTCAATTCCTTTCTCAGCCCTTCTATCTCCTATATATGCCTAGACTCCAGTTTCCATTGTAGGTGGTCTGCCTGCTCATCTGCAAAGAGCTGTGCCTTTAACTGTTCACGTTTCAGCTTCTCTGTGTGATCAACCTCCCCACACTTCTTCTGGGAACTCAGCCATTTCTCCAGGTTGTCTAATGTCCCTTCCTGCATGCACTGTTGCTGTTCTCTCTGGAACTGCTGCATCTGCTCTGTCACAAAATGCTGCTGCTGCTTCAGTCCCTTCAGCAGAGCTCCTGTCTCCATGCTGGAGTTCATTCTGCCCGCATTCTCCACCACCTGTAGCTGGTTTGGAGTTAGAACAGTTCTTTATTTTCCTGGGCACATTTGCTTCACAAGAAACACTATAAACATAAACCAGTAAAAACAAACAAGCATAGACAGAGCCAAGAAAGAGTTCTCAAAACTTAGGATCTTTTTCCAGATCCTGAGAGGGCAACTCTGGCTCCGTACTGCTTCCTCAGCACTACAGTTTTCCCCCTCTCTTTCTAGAATGAGTTCCCTGTCGCAGTGGGGTCTTGTCCCGGAACCTGAGAGTTCCTGGCTCAGTGTTGCCATTAGCCATGAAGCTCTCCGCAGCTCTCACTGTCTTTCACTCTCAGTTCCCCAGTCTCCCTTCCCTGGGAGCTTTTTACTTCTTCTGGGCCAGCCAATTATCTTTACCAGCTGGCCCAGTACTCCTGGCCAAGCCTGCAATTAGATTCTTGCTGCCTGCAGCTGAGCTGTAGCTTCTGCATGCCAGCAGTCTGCTATACCCAGCAAGTATGCAGCCTGTTACATGACTCCTCGTGATTTGTCTATAGACTGTCTCTTTATTCCAGTACACATTTATCTCCACTACTGCAGTCCTTAAAATATAACCTCCAACAGGGAGGAGGGACTGTCTTGCTGTGTGCTTGTATGATGCCTAGTACATTGGAGTCTAAACTTTATCGGGGAGTGAGAATACAACTTAAATAGAAAAAGTATTAACCTGGCCTCAGTTAGTTTCACAGTCAGCAATGATAGCAGATACCAGACCTCCTCTGTTGAGACCTGTTTTGCTGTCTGTGCCCTGTCTTCTTTCTTTCCCTTCTCTGCCTTCCACATTATGCTGATGTTTGCAGAACTTTCTGCTTTCCCATACTTGTACCTTATTGTGATTGCAGTCTTGAGGCCTTTGTTCATACCTACTGGGATTCTTGTGCTCATACTATATTATTGCCCAGTAACAGTATGAGAAACTGCATTCAGTACTCTGGAGTTTAAACTTTTTTCCCAGATGGTCTGTTGTGTGTATCTGGTACATTTCCTCATTTCTGTTGGTGTCATGAGTATAATTTCTGGGCAGAAAAATTTGTCTCACAAGATTGTTCACAATTTTTCCATCTTAAATCTCATTTTCACAAACCAAAAATCTGCAAAACTTCCAGTTGATTGAAACGCTTCCTTTGTGTAATTTCCAAATATGATTTCAAAATGTTAGTTTCAATTGTAGCTGTCTTTACTGGGGTTTTTATGGTAATTTATGTTTTTTAAGTAAAAGGTCATTTTTAAAACAATTTTTTTTTTGTCAAAACATGTTATTCTACCAATTTGGAAATGCTTGTAAAATAAGAAATTCCTCAGAAGTGACTCTTCCTCCTCAGACTTCCAGTTTTGATAGTTTGGCATTGTCTGGCGAGTTTTATTGAAGAATTCCTGGCCAGCTCTTACAAGTCGGGTGCTGATATGGACTGGAGACTCGCAGGACTCGCTGTCCTCACACTGTTTCTTGATGACTACATGCTTTGGCTGCGTGCTGAATCCACAGGTGCAAACAGAACTGATTGGAATAAGTAGATCTGTGCTATTCTCAAATCTCTCTGGATTCTAGAATCTGCAGCTGCAGTGAACCTGCTGGTATCTAACTGTACAATTTTAAAATGTAATTAACATTTTGGTTGGTTTCAACACAGGCTGGATTATCAGAGGGGTGGATGAAGGAGTGGGAGAAAATTATTCTCATTATTAAAGCAGACTGTTGGGAGGTAGCGCAGTCTTGCTGGCCATAGTGTCAGAAGTTTTGTGTTCTATTTGTGGCTGTTAACACTGATCTGTTCTGTGGCTTTGGGCAAGTTATTTCACAGCCATTCATCTACTAGTAAAACTGGAAGTCTGATACTGCTCTTATTTTAGTAAGTGCTTTGAAACCTTCAAGTATAAAGAACTTTAAGAGAACTAATGCGTAAGGGGACTGGGCTCCTACTACATGGTTTTCAGCCTTCTTTCAGAACTTACTGCTGAGATCTGCGACCCATTTCCGATTAGAAAATGTTTGTCAGCATTATCCCACTAGTTTTCTCCAAGATGAAAGGCACATTAGATCATTTTTTCAGCAGATATAAAACCTGGAAAGAAAAAAAAAAAAGATTAAATCAGAGGTTTTGAGGCACTGACTGCTGAAATGTAAATGAACATGTTGTCCCTTAGTTCCTTGGGTGGTAGCTGCTTCATTTCCTCAAAACCCTACAGTTGCCATTGGTATTGTTCCTTTCAATCAAAGTATTCTTTTGATTTTTTTAATTATCTTGGTAACTTGATTACAAAGCTCAGTGTGCTTTTTCCTTCCTTTATGCAGATTAAAATCTCTCTTTTGCATCAGGGATACTTGTATCAACTGTAATCCATTTGTGATTAAAACCCTTCAAAGTTTTTTTTTTTTTCTGGATTAATGGTATAAGTGTATCAAAGACTAGGGCTTGACAATGACGCTGTGCTTCAGTAACAGCTGAGTGGTTGTAAATTTGAGTCCATATCATCAAAGCAAAGTGTAGTGGGATTGAAACAGAGGAAAGTTCTCAATGGTTGTCTTGATCACAGGATTAGCTTCAGGGCATATGATTTTTCTTTCCGTTCAGGTTACACCATGTATGCCACTAAAGACGCATGAAGTTAACTCATGTCATGTCCCCTTGTGATAAGTCATGTAGTTACACAGCATCTAAAAACATGTATAAAATACAAACATGCTTTATGTTCTCTCGTCTGCACTACAAATCAGGGTTTTGACTTTTGCTGTTCTCAAGCCTTTTTCTTCAAAGGATTTCAATTGGTTGTGTATTGGAATGGTAGTGTATTGGAGGTGGAAGGACTTTTGGAAAGATATTACTTTGGTAGACTTGAGTGTCATCTGATATATGCATATCAAACTGTGGTTTGCCACACATGATTATCAACTACAGACTTTAAATTTCCATTGCAGTGGATGATTCTTTGAGGTTCAATGTTTGGAAAGGAGAGAAGCACATTTTATACTATGAAGTGGCATGTATTTCTGAAGACAGGGGCCAGTTGTCAGCAGTAGCGTATCTATAAGTGGGCGAGTGGGGCATCAGCCCTAAATTCCAAATTCAAGGGTGAACCACAATGGCAGCGCCCGAGGAGTCCATACCATGGCGCTGGTGCAGCCAGTGTGCAGTGAGCCTGTGCCACGGCTATAGCAGCTCAAGCCCATCCTGCCGCAGCAGCAGCAGTGGGAGAACCCAAGACCTGGCAGATAAGACTCCTCCAACCACCCGGTCTCCAGCGGTTGGAATAATATATCTATCCCCGTATATCTGTCCGTCTCCCTGCTCCCTGTTCCTCCCTGCACAGGGCATCAAAGGAGCTCACTAGGCCTCTGGTAATCAGTATCAGAAATGCCTTCTGTTGAGCATTCACCTATATGCTTCAGGGGAAAAAATAAAACAATGCAAAAGCAAAATGCTAGGAAAAAGAGAACAGTATGTTCTCTCTAATGCTTTTCCTTTAGAGACATCTACTGCTGGCAATAAGATTATATCACTGAAACCTTCCCTGAAGCTACATCTGCCACTGCCTACATTTTCCAACCTCAGTAATAAACTAATACTTGCCAGTGTTCATTTCTTCTGGCTTTCATTTCTCAGATTGAACCAACGCTATTTACCACAAAGCATCAAGTTTGCACTTAACGTTGAGCATCTATGCCAAGCCCTTAAAAATATTCATAACTCTGAAGAATCTGGTTTTAAATTATATCATAAAAAGTAAATGAGATTAATATACTAGTTCACACAGAGTTCATATATTGCTGATGCCAGCATATAAACACAATAGAAGTCGCATAAGAAGTACTAGGCAAGACTACTCTGAAGTGGTGAATAAAATCTTTTTAACCAAAATATAGATTGTTGATAAAAGGTTATGACAGAAATTTTCTTACACGCAAATATTTAAAACCTATGTCATTTTCTTTTTGTCTTCACATCAACTAGCACATGGAATGCTGTGTCTTTTTAATATATTGGCGCTAAATTATGAACTGCATGCAGTGGGTCAGTAGCCATCACTTCTAAGAAATGTTTGCAATGCAGAAGTAATGCAGATATTTAATTCCCACAGGATGCTATAGTTATTCATGAAGTTTATGAAGAAGGCGCAGCAGCTAGAGATGGCCGACTTTGGGCTGGTGATCAAATTCTTGAGGTAAATCTGCAAATCTTATTTAAATGTCTTAATGTTTAACATTAAATTGATTTCTGAAAAAGCCCTTAACTACTTGGAAGATTCTGGTGTGTGTAACGTTATATATCAGTTACCGTATGATCTTGAGGATTGTTTTCTCTAAAAAAAAGAACAGCAATAAGAAATGCCCAACAAATCATATTTTATGTTACAATTGGTGACTGTATTCAATTTGATCAGACAAGATGTGTCTTGAATTACATGATTCAGCTTCCATGTACAGTAATTCAAAAGCATTCATCTGGTAAATCTTTTATTTAGAAGTCCCTACCGATACAGTGTTACTTTCTTATGTTCATGTCCTCCTTAATCTTGTTGTAATACCCTTCAGCATTAGTACATTTTGAAAATTAGTAATATAAATAATCAAAGGCATAATATTTTTCTCACATTTCATGCAGTCTTAGTGTCTAGCCTAAAACCTAGGAAACATTTAAGGGGAATGCTGAAAAAAAACGAAGCGTCTATTTTTGATGTGTTGTCTAGTGGCTTGCATGTCCTCAAACGTAGGTATCAATCCTTTAAATTTAAAGTGCTCTACGTTACAGAAAACAATACAAATAAGTACATGCTTGAAGAGTCATTTCAGAATATTCATAGATGGTCTGTGATGGGTAGGTAGTGTGTGGTGTAAAACCTTTTTGGCAGTATTTGTTTCTTTAACTAAAGGGATTTGATTGACTAGATATTAAAAGAAAAAAGTTATGGTGAACGTATGAATTTCTTTCTGTAACCTTGTGCAAGAAAAGGGCCGACAACAGAACTGTTTTTCTTTTCCCCCCTCCCTCAGAGACGAATATAAATACAAGAATGGAATACAGACGGCAAAGAGTTAAGAAAGGGAGGCTGTTGACTGCAAAATTAAGCTTAAGTCAGCCTATGGTGGTTCTAGTGCAGCTGTTTACAGTGCCTCTCTGTCAAAACAGGACAAATTCCCAGCACACCCATTACAGGGCTAGTGCATGGGGTTAGAAAAATAGCGAGGAGTACCTAGGGAGTTGTCTTTACAGCTCTTTCACAGAAAATATTTTTTTAGTATTCAGACTATATATTTTTTTTTCATTTTAAAACAAGTGTGTCTTCACAAAATGAGACCACGAAGCATGTAAAAAAAATGGACAAGGTTAATGAATTCTTTAGCAGCTAATCAGGAAGCTGCAGATCTTTTGATGTCATAATCTTTGTATGAATTGTTTCTTTTAAAGCTCACCTGGTGAGGCAAATGTACAACAGTGCTGACTTCAGATAAGCCTAATTCAATCTGTTTCATACAGACGCATGGAAAGAAAAATACAGTGATGCAGCATATACATAATATATTCATCCTATCTAGAATTCACGCGTTTAAAATATTTGATGACTAAATTGTTTTTGTATAGTTAGAAAAATCAAGAAATTATTTTTTCTTTTTTTTTAAATTTATTGCATTGTATTTTTGTATTTATAGTATTATATTATTAGATATTTTCTGATCCCTATGAAACTTTTTTTTTTATATCCAAGCTTTTTTTATATAGTTGGTGGTAGACTAAGGCACAGAACAGAAGATACATTCAGGGATGTGGCTATAGATGCTAGGTTTGGCTATAACTGGAATCTGAGCTTTGAGTTGCAAGAGTTTTTTAATACTTCCAAATTTGACCATAACTATTGCAGCCTTGACTTTTGGCCTGATTATTAACAGAATGCTCTCATGCTACTTTAAGAGAAGTTTAACTGCAACCTCTAGTAGTGGTCTTGTGTGCCATCTATTGGAACAAAATAAAATAATCATCTCATAACAGCCTCTTTTAGCTTAGAGATCATCATTTTTCTGTAAATTTACATTTGAAAATACTGAAATCTGCTAGTAAGAGTTGGAGAAAATTATGCTCGCCACAGAAATGGTCCAGTTCCCAGCCAACTTAGGTGGGTTATTTTTTTGTTTGTCAACGTTGTGATCTTGGAGGGGAATTAAAGTTAAGCATTACTTACAGAAAAGAAAAAGCAGGAGAAATGTGTGTACAGGGGATCAGGCATTACTTCCACCTCTAAAATGAAGGATGAGAGTGGTTTTATAGTTAGAAGTGAATGCTCTTAAATTGTGGCTACAGTAGGCAAGAGTGAATTCTACAAAATCACCATTTTGCACAATTGGTAGCATTTTTAATCATGAGGACCCAGGACAGAGCTGCCTCCCCCTCAAGCTGGGCAGAAGGCAGGGCAGCATGGCACCTTGGACACTAACTTGTTCAGAGAAGCCTAAGCTTAAAGTACCCAGCTTTTAGCTTGACTTCAGATTAGCACAACTAACTACCTCTCTCCACATGTTGAGGGGACTGGCACAGAACACTGTGACAATGTTGACTCTTGCAAATGCCATAGAGAGGCTAACGAAATAATTTAGGCCAACATTTTCTTGCCTAAGTACTCGGATATTGAGATGACAAAAAGCCAACTATATGCCTTAGAAAACTTATTATTTGGTTATTTCAGGTGAATGGAATTGATTTGAGGAATGCTAGTCACGAAGAAGCTATCACAGCCTTGAGACAGACACCTCAGAAGGTACAACTGGTTGTTTATAGGGATGAAGCTCAGTATAAGGATGAAGAGAATTTGGAGATTTTCTATATAGATCTACAAAAGAAAACCGGCCGAGGACTAGGGTTAAGCATTGTTGGAAAACGGTAAGATTTGCTCTTTATAGTCAGATCTGCATTTGGAATTAGAGTTGTATTTTTGCCACATGAACAATTATAAGCCACTAATTTGAATGTGAAGTAAGAAAG